GATGTCCCCAAACCTCCATCACACTCTACATGTCTGTCCTCTGACTGACACACAGCACCTAGATTACTGAACACTATAATAGCTCCTAAGATCAGGGAGTGTGAGGCACCAGCTAAAGAACACTTAGCCTGGCTGACTTTTCTATTGTATTTCTTTTTTAAACTTATTTTATTTTTTTACACTAGCTTTATTGTGCTCTTCCAAAAACTTTATCTTCATTTTCATTTATATGTCTGTTTCTGTCACATGTGTGTGTGTGTCCATGGAGGCCAGTGATCCCTGAGAACTGGAGTTACAGGTAGTTGTGAGCACTTGATGTGGGTGCTGGGAACCGAACTCAGGTCCTCTGGAAGAACTCCCAACAGCTGAGCCTCCTCTCCAGCCACATACTGTGTTCATTTCTTCCTGATTTCTTTGGGTTAATTTGGTCTTTTCTAATTTCTTGTAAACTCTTCAAAGACTGTTTCTTCTTCCGAACACACACAACTATCGTGATGGCCTCTCTCCCAGTTTGAGATCGTTCTACTAGTTTGGGAATGCTATATATTGATTTAAATTCACTTCAAGTATTTCCTAATTTCTTTTGTTTTGATTTGTTTTAAATTACCTAGAGGTGTACCGTTTGATATGTTATCATTTGGAGATTTTCCTCTTATCTTTCTTACTGATATTCAATTAAACTCTACTACAGTTTGGAATGAATTTTGTGCAGTTGCATTCTGAATTGGTTTGTGTGTGCTCCAGGATTCACGGCTTTGGCTTCCATTGGTGTGCTCTTAATGTGCCTTTAAAAAGAATGAGTGTTTCCTCATGTTGGGGAGGTTATTACTATTACTGCTCTTGAAGATCTTTGGTTTATTCATATCTAAAACAGACTTTCCTGTCCTACCTTTTCTTTTGAGATCGTTTCTGATTTTATTTATTTATTTACTGCAAAGACTTTTTCACATATATTTTCATCATATTTCCTTTCACCAGTTTCTCCCCAGTCCTTTGCACCTCTCTACCCACACACTATTGCTCCCCCCAAGTCCTTTCTTACTTCTTGAGTCCAAATTGTAAATCGATTTCAATGTTCTCAGTCCATCATAAACCTGTTTCCTGGTTTCTGGCTCTGCCAGGTTTAGTTCTAAGGAGGTCAGAGAAGATGCCAGTGGTTCATAGCCCATTCAGGAGTACCTTGCACCTGGCCTCAGCCCTCTGTCTGCCTGCTACTGCTCACTTTGCAGCCTCTGGTGGATGCTCTCAGATTTGGAGGTGCTGTTTCCATGGGGAAGCTACCTCCACATCATCAGTTAACGAGGAAGCATGACAGCAAACATCGGCTCCAACTCCTCACACCCTACCCTGGCCAGCTAGTGTGTTCTACCCCAAGACTTTAAGAATGGCTGCACAATGGACACATGGCTCAAGTTACACAGCGAGAGTCATTACTAAGCCTTTTGTGTGACCCAGAAAGAAACAGAACCTTTTTCCTGGAATGAACTTCTGGGGTGAATTCACAGCTTGGGACGGATTTACATGAGAGCAAATTGACACACTGATGGAAATAATCTATTCAGTAAAGGAGAGAGGCAAACTCCCAATGAGCTTCCTTTACACACCTAGGTCCAGCCATTCCTGAAATCAGTAGTCATCGCTTACATACTGGACTGTTTAAGCAAACCAGGTTTAACTGGACCCAGCAGCAAAACAGTTTTCTCAGCATTAGCCAGAGTAGTTGGTATTTCTCTTACTATAAAGGTGTCTCAATCCCCTTTACTGCATCTGTATGTTTTAAGTTTCCTTTCAACTCCATTAGTTCCCCAGCCAGGATTCAAGGGACCAATTGCCCCCTTAAGCCATAGAGTAGCACTCCCTTCCCCGAGAGGGCAAATAGCATATCTCAGTGGTCTCCAAACAGAAATGGTTGTCCTCGGAGACTCTCAGTGTTAACACTGAACAGAAAAGCAGGCATGGTTGATGCAAAGGCAGGCTGTGTTCCATGGCAACTTTGAACGGTCAAGAGCTCATCTTACTTTGAAAGGTAAGGCAGTTTCCTTGGCTATATGGACAGGCCAGCTGCTCCTTCTTTTGCTGGTCCATATGAAATCCACATTGCTGGCAACTTGGAGATATTGTAGTTTATTCAGTCTTGGAACTCAATATTTAAAAAGAGGGAAATAATTAGACGTGGAGAAAAATAACAGACCGTCTAGGAATGGGAAAAGGAACATTGTTTCTTCACAGTATTTTGCTACATCTATTAAATCAAGATCCCAAATTATGGGAAAAGTGACATGTTTGGCACATTTAGGTGAGGTATGTGCCCAGCACAGATATTAGGAGACTTAGGACCACAGAGATAATTTTGCTGATGGAGGGGAGGGACCTTGGGGAAGGATGCTACTTAAGGTCATGTGGAGAATTAACTGCAGGCAAGGTCTGAAGTGTGAAGGAGGCAGCATCAGCATCAGGAGGGTTTATTGAGCACTTATGTGCCCTACACAGTGTTGGGAGGACCTTGGAGGCCCAAATGGTCCCTACCTTCCAGGAGTTCCTAGCCCAGTGAAAGTGAGATGTGGAAGCGTATGCTATTTAGGGCTGGTGTGGCTGGATCAGTGTTGTACTCCTGGCAGGACAAGTCAAAGAAGGGAATGTGCAGCCCTGCTAGGAGCAGGGGTTGTTAGGGAGGGGAGACTTCTCCAGAAGATCAAGGTGTGAAGTTACATCTTGAAGGTTACACTGAGCTCTCCTTGTTAGTGAGGCATCTGAGTGGATTTCAAGGGAGGGAAGCGTATGCTGTCCTTGCTTCTCTTGTGACATTTGTCTCATACTGGCCTTTGTGTCAACACTGCAGGTCTGCCTGGTCTCCTAAAAGCCTTTTGTGGCTGTACAGAACATCCATCTATCCTATTTCTCTCATCTGTCAAGAGAGTCTAATCACAGCATTCCTTCTTGATTATTATTCAATATGTAGAGATACATATGAAGTGTACAGAATGATGTCCTATGCACGGTAAATACCCAATAAATGAACTACAATAATTAATATAATAATTAATAATTAAACTGTTCTTTAACTTCAAATGACATTTATTGTCTAAAATGAAGTTCTTATTCTGCCTGCTGGAAGCCTCTAGTAGCTTAATGCCCCATTCTCAGAGAGCATCTCTCTTGGTCCTTCTTCTACTGCTGCAACTGAATACCACACACTGAGTAACTAATAAAGCATAAAGCTTTATTTAACTCATGGTTCTGGAGGTTGGGTGGTCCAAGGTGGAGAGAGCACATCCAGGGAAGAGCTCGTGCTGGTGGGGTCCCCAAGTGGTATAGGGTTTCTCACAGAGAGACAGCAAGTAGCGAATTTGAATCTTCTTCTAAAGACACTGACATCATCATCATCAAGGCTCCATCTAATCTTATGATCTCATCTAATCCTAATTACATCCCAAATGCTCTGCTTACATATCCACTAATGTAAACTTGAGGGATTAAGTCTCAATGTGAAATTTAGAGGGAACAAATACCCAGGACGTAGAAGTGTCTACTTTGGGCACATGTCTACTCAGATGTGCGTGAGCTTGTTTGTATGAACTATGCCAGTATCGCATAAAGAATAATGGGGCTTGAAGGGGTACTCACTGCTAAAGCTCAGGAGCATCGAAGGTGAGTCAGTGCTGGCAGAAGATGTAGGGGCAGCTAGGGACACAGTGTGTGATTGGACCCAATCCTAAAGAGATACCAGGATGGCCCTTCTTGCAGGCTTGCAGATGTTTTGCCTTTGAGCATCATCACCAGGAGGCTGTTTTAGGGGAGTTATCCATTTGCATAGCTAACCCAGAGGATTCTCAAATGCATACTCCAGCAAGTACTTTGGGCAACACACCAAGGAAAGGAAGAGTCTGGCCTGCAAAGCAGCAATGATAGCATCATGCAAAGCAAACAAAACACTCTCCTTGCTTTTTCCAAGCATCTCAAGGATCCAGTTAGGCTTCAGATTATGGCCTTGGGAAGAATAGAAGTGACAGAGGCCTAAATCAGGTGGTGGGGTAATGTGCACAGTAGCAAACGCTGTCTGCAGTCAGGAGGATATGGGACCTGAGAACGGGGCTCTGTACTCGGTGACTGTGAAGGACCTTCGTGCAGAATTGGAATTCAGGCAGCTCTGGCAACCTCAGCTTTTGTGTGTCATCTCTGACTCAGTGTTTTTATATGTGGCTTCCTGTTTACTAAATTCTGTCCCTGCTATCTTTGTGGTGAAGTGGTTGTCAGGCAGCATGCCTGTCTCATGTCCTTTAGAGTCCCAGGAGGAGTAGGTGGAGTGTGTCTGGGAAGGACAGTTTTCTGGGAGAGGAGAGGAACCAATCAATAAAACAGGTTATCAGGACAGCTCAGAGGAAATGCATAGAAGGTAACACTCAGGCATTTTTCCAGAGAGAACCTGAGGTTGCCATTTTTAAAATGGTGCCGAACTCGGGAGTTGAGACTAATGAGCTATGGAGAAGTGGTTCTTGGCAAGGCCTTGTTGGTTAGCTGGATGTTGGTATTTGAAAAGAGGAGACATGGAAGCCCAAGAGGGATGTGCAATTCCTTTTATGCATCAACTTTGGGTAACTGGGTGCTCAGATATTTGGTCAAGTATCATTCTGGATGTGTTTGTGAAGGTGTTTTTAGATGAGAGTTAGAATTAGTCCTCTCCCATATGGGTGGCCCTCATCCGTTTAGCTGAAAGTCTAAGTAGAGACAACAGCAGGGGATTCCTCTCCTAACTGTCTTGTGCTGGGATGATCTCAAACCTCAGTACTTGCTCTCTAGCCTGCCAATGCCAGGCAGAGCTTCTGACAACTACGGCCTTTCTCGGGCTTTCAGACTGTGGCTGCTTGTGAATCATGTCTCCTGTGCCTCCAGCTATCTAGATCTCTCTTGATCCCCCTCCCTCCCTCCCTCCCTCCCTCCCTCTCTCCATCTCTCTCTCTCTCACACACAACTTAATGGATGTCTATTCTATTTCTCTGCAGAACCCCGACTAATCAGATGGCAGCTGTAATGGCTGAAGCAAGCACAGGACTCGGCACTCTCTGCACGTCCTTTTGAGTCCTCAGGCTCAGGCTGAACATCACATTTCTGCATCCAGCTTATGGATCAATACTGCACTGATAGTTAAATAACAAGTATTTATTGTGTATTTAGTCTCGTCTGCAGTGGTGACGTATTTCACATGTTCATTTATTTAATCAATAAACACTTACTGGCTATCTACCGAATGTCTGGAATGTACCATTGAACAAGATAAGAATCCATATGCTCTTGACGTTCACTTTGTAGCTGAGGCAGTGTAGAACAATAGACAATAGACATATTGCATGTCACATTCACACAGCATGTCAGAAGGTAATTTATTGTTATACAAATATTAAGTAAAGGGCACTAAGCATTGGGGTTGCGGTGCAACTTTAAACAGGTTACTCAGGGAGCCCTCACTATGAAGATGAAATGTGAGCAAGGAATTAAGAAGTATGTGAAGGAGGGAGAAGATCTGGGAGAGAAATGTCACATGCAAAGGTCCATGCATTTGTGGAAGGGTATGGAACAAAGCTAGTGTGGCTGGATGGGAGTGAATAAGAAAAGAGAAGAAAGTGAGGCCAAGAATAAAAGTGAGAGAGGTAAGAGCATGCCAAGCCTTGCAGACCATGGGGAGACTGCAGCTTTAAGAAGATTGGAGTTATGTCAGTGGCAGAAATTGGATAGGACTGCAGATAGTCATTTGAAGAGAAAGGAGCCCGTGTCATAGTGACAGGTATGTTTTCTCTCATTTGTGGTTCCTACACATATAATCATGCATGTGTCTATAAAGCAGGCGTGGCATTGTCTATCGGAAAGAAAGGGCATAGTGGGGTGGGGGAGAAAAGGCAGGATGGGTAGGGCATGAAGGGGGAGGGATATGCTCAATATGCAATACACACCAGTAAGAAAGTTACAACATAAAAAGATGTGGCGTTAGTCCAGACAGGAGTGCTTGCAGCTGCCTTGCAGAAGGATGATCAAATGGTTCTTATTTTTAGCAGAAGCTCCCCTGGCTCCTACTTTTCAGTGATCCAAGTAAGAGATGGTGGTGTCTGGAACCAGGGCAGTGGCAGGCAGATGGATCAACACATTGAAAGTGACAGGGAGAAACCCAGCGTGGCTGGAGAGGTGTGAGCAAGGAAGCTTCTGGCATGGGCTGAGGTTGGACATGGACCATCAAGATGAGGAAGGGAGGGGACTGTGGAGACGGCTCAGTGAGTAAGAGAGCTTGTTGCACATGCATGAGGAACTGAGTTTGGGTCCTAGCACTCAAATAAAATCTGGATGTGACCTCATGTATACTCATAACTCGGGGTATAATCAGGTGGGAGAGACAAGAGGATGGCTTGGGCTTACTGGACTCCTGATCTTAGCTCTATATTCAGTGAGAGACCCTGTTCAAGAGAATAATGCTGAGATTGATATAGCAGGATGCCCACCGTTCTTGTCCTTCTATGACTTCCATACATGCAAACATAGGTGTTCATACCCCCACATGTATATACAACACACACACACATACACACACATGCACACACTCCAAAAGTTATAAGATCACTTGAGGTGTGAGATGCAGCCAGACTATGTGTACTTAAGGCAGGAGGTGTGTGTAGGTAGGCCTGCTGCTTGTTCTCCATTCTGAGGATTCTGAGGAGGGGGTTGGATGTGGGGGATGCTCTCAGCCTTCCATCTGCACAGTGTCCCTGACAACAGGCTTGTGAGCAAGCACCCACTTCCTCAGTGAGGTTGAAGAGCTACTTTCTCAGGAGGATGAGAAGCACCTCCGGATGTTTCGGCCATACCTTGGCCTTGGGTGGGTCTAAGGTGTTGGACCTCACCTGCTCTGATCTACTCACCCCAGTTACAGCCCAGGGGAGCTCTGCTTTCCCGTTGTGAACAAACTCGCAGACCCGAGTTCCCATCTACCCAGTCCTTACCTGAGTGTCTTCAAACTTTCCCACAGCCTTGACATTGCTATTCTGCTTGGATATCAAGGACATCCTGGTCAGGTGAAGGGAAAGCAAAGCACCTGGAATCTTCCTGTGTTGGAGAAAGCACTTGGAGGTGCTCAGAGGCCACATTTAACAGACTTACTTATAATCTTGCCATGACTTCTGCTCACCAATCCAAGCTACAATTTGTTCAAGACATCTCAGTATGCCTTCATCCTTCTAGCAGCCTATGCTGACCTGGAAGTGAAGCCAATGTGAAACACAAAGCTGAGCAGTTACGAGGAAGGGCATCTTGATACAGGACTCCTTGACCACCAGTTAGTAAACTGCCCCTCCCTCCCTCCCTCCCTTCCTTCCTTCCTTCCTTCCTTCCTTCCCCCTTTCTTTGTCTTTCTTTTTTTTTTTTGTCTTGAGCAAAACTTGATCTGAGTTTTCTGTTGAGTGCTGCAGCCTGGACAGCTATGAGGACCCCACACAGGAGAAGGAGGAGGTCCTTTGAGGAGCAAGTGGAGTGTAGAGACTTGACTACTCAGTGTATGCCCATTGGCTTAGCATCATTAACACCATTTAGGGACTTGTTAGACATCTAAGGTCATTCCTCAGATTGTGGAATCAAAACCTTTGTTCCTTTATTTTAAAACAGAGGTCACGTAATGATTATGCACTCACTAAGGTCTATGGGGCCCTACAGTTTGGGTGTAGTATGAATGTGTCCCCCAAAGGTCAGTGCTCTGGAAGCTTGGACCCCAGAGTGGTGCTGTTAAGACAGTGGGACTTTTAAGAGGTGGTTCCTACTGGAGGTGATTAGGTTATAGGGGTGCAGCCCTGGGAAGGGATTAATGCAGTTAATGCTGGAAGGGTCCGGATTAGTTCCTGCAAGAATAGGAAGAAAGAACAATTCTGATCCCTGAATCTGACTTCCTGTATTATTATGTGTTTGTTTTGCACAAATTCTAGCCATTGTGTGGCATTTACCAAGAGGCCATCACCAAAGACTGAAGCCATGGGGTTTGTTTATCTTGAATATTCAGCCTCCAAACTATAAGATACAAGAACCTCTTTTTGTTTAAAAGTACCCAGCCCCAAGGATTTTATTATAGAAAATATAAGATCATTTCTGTGGAGGACAAGAACAAATCTCTTTAGCTCCCTGGGCCTCTGTGATTGGGAAGTTTTGTGACTAATTGAAGTTTGGAAGCAGGGATTGATTCATGACTTTGATTGCTTATTAGTTCAAGGACAGTGGGTACACTTATTTTAAAATATCTTTGTCAGTTTTCACCTCTGGAGAATGGAGGTAGTAACTATGGGTAATCGACTGTGATTTAAGAAGAATTCAGGGTGTTTTTCTGGTGGAAAGTACTTGGCACACTCCCAGGCTTAGGCAGAGAGAGTTCCGAATATGCCAGAAATGCCTTTCCCCTGCAGCTCTGCAATGGCTGCATTATCTTCAGCCCACCTGATAACTTTTGATAGATTAAATGAGACAACAGATGGGAAACATTTCTAGAATGTGTAAATTGATGAAATGGAGTGTTTTTTAAATCTTAAGAGAACATTATTTATAAAAGTGGATTCATCTGTGTGGTTAATTGTGGGCTGGCTTTGGCATGAACCTGTGGACAGGGAAGGATCTGGGTAAAGGGTGAGGATAGGTCACCTCCTGACAAGGGCACAGAGCTCAGAATCCCAGGGTCAAGTTGGGGAAAGGACATGGATCTCCCGGGAGAGACTGAATCATGGCTTTTGATCGGGGACCCTGGCAGGCAGTGAGATAGAGCTAATCGCAGTGACACTCATGTGACACTAGCATGACAGACATTCGTTGTCCCATAGTTTCCTAATCTGTTCCTGTCTTAAGAAATAGCTCAGATGGGGCTGGAGAGATGGCTTAGTCGTTAAAGGCTAGACTCACAACCAAAAATATAAGGAATGGCTCAGGGGCTAGGAGATGGTTTAGTGAGTAAACCTTCCAGTCAAGCGTGAGGACCTGAATTCTCATACTTAGTATCTATGTAAAATTCCAGGTGCAGTGGCTATGCTTGTAATCCCGGCACTGGGCAAGTGGGAACAGGAAGATCCCTGGGGCTTGCTGACCAGTCAGTCAGTTTAGCCAATTGGTGAGCTCCAGGCTCAGTGTGAGAAACCTTGTCTCAAAAATTAAGGTAAAGAAGCAATTGAGGAAGACACCCGATGTTGGCTTCTGGCCTCCACACACCCCACCACGTGGACACACATGTAAACATACATACATACATACATACATACATACATACATACATACATACATACACGCACGCACGCATGCACGCACGCACGCACACACACACACACACACACACACACACCTATCATGACATATTGTACAAACCTCAAGAGAACTCTGGCTGGTAGGTCTGATCTAACCTAGCTTCAGTGCATACTTCCAAGAAGCCTGCAAAGGGCCAGCAGGAGGAGAAAGCCTGTGCCCTGGAATAACACAGATTTTGTAGGGAAGCATTGTCAAGTGACATAGTTTGGGCCTTCTAGGATTGTTTTTGGGGTGTGAATGAGGGTTGGGTCTTGATCTGTTGGCGATTGTCAATGAGGCACTGGTAGTTGGGAATGGCCTTCAGGGCATGGCCAAGGCTCTAGAATGAGAACTGCCACGAAATCCTGAAGAAGGCACATAGGTCCATGGCTCCGCCTTTCAATCTACTCTGGGACCCACCTTACTGGAGAGATCGAGCCAGTTTGAGATATGTGACTGGGAACACACTCTGTTGAATCCCCCTCAGTCTCTAATCAACCTGAGGTCTGAAATGAAGACAGCACTGAAGTGAGGTTGAGCAATACCAAGTCTAACTTCAGCCCCAGCGTCCTTGCCACTTGATGAAGAGACCAGGCTAGACGGTAGGCAGACCTGCGTTGCCATGTCCCCTTCTCTTCTGTTGCTTGCTGTCAATAAGGTTCTGGGTGCTCTCTTCACCCCTTGGTATCCTCATTTCTCCACAAAAAGCACACCCTTTAGTGTGAGGCTAAATTGGTTGCCAGTGGCACAAAGCTCAGAGTGCGGGGCGTGGACAGAGTAGAGGCCAGTAAGGCAGCTGATTATAGCTTTCAGTAATCTGGTGAAATGTGGGGGGCGGGGTTAGAGCACAGAAGCTTGGTAAATGCAGAAAAGACCTCTTTGAGGAAGAGACATTCCAACTATGGGGACAGAGAGACCACTCCACAGTTCTTAACTAAGAAGGAGTTGATTGTGGCTG